CACACACACACACTCACTCTCTCTCTCTCTCTCTCTCTCTCTCTCTCTCTCTCTCTCTCTCTCTCTCTCTCTCATATTTTCAAATGTACACATTCAAGTCTACTAAATAAGTAACACATTTCTTTCATCTTCAAACGTACCGATCAAGTCTACTAATAAGTAACACATTACAGTCGCAGGACGTGCAACGCTCGTCCACCTCACTAGTTTTCCAATAAATGTAAATCTAACAATTGAATTTAGATTAAGGGATAATTGCAGCAACGGTCCCAAACCTTTCAGATTTTTGCGCACTTTACCCTAACCTTTGATTTGTGCCAGCGAAGGTCCCAAACCTTTAATAAATATGCAGCTGAGGTCCAAATGGATGGTTTCCATCCATTTGACCGTTAGTTTGACCGAAATAGTAAACTTTACTCATTTTGACAAAATTGAAAAGGGCAAAATTGTAACTTTACAATTAAAACATTAAATAAATAAATTAAAAACCCAAAAATAAATAAATAAACAAAATACACACACACTCTCTCCCCAGCCAACCGTCTCTCCCCAGCCAACAGTGTCGGCACTGTACAGGCACCACCGCCGCCGTCAGGTTTGTGTCGGCGGCACCACAACCGCGTCGGATTCCAAACCCTCACGATTCAATCATCACTTTACTCTTCATGAATCCCCATCAATCCGAACCTCTTCAACCAAATGAATCCCCAACCCGATTTCAGATCCGCCGCTGCCAGATCCTCCACGAATATCCTCACAGACCTCATCCTCAGCTCCCTCGCCATCGCTGTCGCTGCCACCTCCCATCGATCTACGTGCAGCCGTCTCCACCCACCTCCGCCTCCACCTCCACCTCCACCTCTTCTCCATAGCTAAGCTTAAACATAATGTTCAATTAATTAGATCTATGTTTCTTGGTGAAAAAGGCGTGTCAACTGGGGATAGGATGTTCTGTTGCTGCTATTGGAATTGATTAAGAAGTGCAGATTTATAAGTTGGGGAGATGAGCTCTCAACAGAAAAAGCATCCTCAAGATTGGAAGGAATTAAGGTATTTGATTGAACAAATTGGTTCAATGAATTGGTGTTAATACTTGGTTGGAATAAGCGAGATCAACTAAAACAATGTGGCATCGGTTTGGTAAGGGTGGGATCGATGACCAGCTAGGTTTGTGTAAGATTATGGATACAGATTGTAGCCTTCAACCTGTTGATTATTGCTCAATTTTAGACATGACGGTAAAATTTAGCACTTTTAGGGACGCCCTTGTTGGAGAAGAAATTGAATTTTTTATGGGTTGGAATGGGATAGAGATAGGGTGGGATTTGGGATTTTGGAAGGGGGAAGCGAGTATAGAAGAACCCGTAGATCGATTTTGCAGAGGATAAGATGGATTTAAGGGAGGAAATTTTGGTGGGGTGGGGTGGGGTTTTTATTTTTGGATTTTTAATTTTTGGGTTTTTAATTTATTTATTTAATGTTTTAATTGTAAAGTTACAATTTTGCCCTTTTCAATTTTGTCAAAATGAGTCAAAGTTTACTATTTCGGTCAAACTAACGGTCAAATTTATGGAAACCATCCATTTGGACCTCAGCTGCATATTTATTAAAGGTTTGGGACCTTCGCTGGCACAAATCAAAGGTTAGGGTAAAGTGCGCAAAAATCTGAAAGGTTTGGGACCGTTGCTGCAATTATCCCTTAGATTAATATTACCTAGCACTAATGGAATTAAAGTACCAGTATAAATGGTCACATTTGATATGTTAAATTAAATGAATCATGTGACATTGTATTTAAGTAAATCTATTATTTACTGTCATACAATTCTCACCTAAACTCGTCTTTGACAAAGTGTTGTTGAATAACATTACTCTTGAATTTAAAGACCACATTTTCATAACCATTTGCCAGGTAGGATCCGTCATTAAAAGGTAAAAAACTCAATTGCTCACTTAACATATAGGTGGTTTTCAATTTGGTAAGTCAATTTTAATTTGTTCCAAACTAGTCATCCAACTTTAAGTTCTGTTTCACGTGGATCGCTAAAAAATAATTTGTTTATAAATCAGTCATTAAGTTTTAAGTTTTGTTCACATTAGTCTCTATAGTAGTTTTAAATTTGAAACGTTAAATGGCCAATATGTTACAATATTTGAGAGCAGACTCCTCTGAACACTTACGGGTTTGATACTAACCCGATTGCTAAGTTCCATGTAGCCTTAGGTAGTGATCAATGTGAAACAAAAAAAAAAATTATAGTTGGGTGGCTAATATGATAGATGTAATATCTCAAAGTTTGAATTTTGGAATAGTGATTTTTTTGGAAATGTGTGGTTAAAAAGTAATAAACAGTTGAGTTTACGTTCAAAATATTTTAAAATTAGAATGTGTAGTTGACAATGAGTTTGAGAAAAAAAAATTCTTTTAATGATTTTCAAACGGGGCTTAATTTGAAATAAATTATAGCTTGACGACTAAATTGAAACATGCCTATAAATGCAATAACCATTCGGATCACTTTTTACTCGTTATTAAGCCCCCTGTTTAGTTTAGTTAAAAAGTTGATAAAACTGTAAATTAAGGTCAACAATTACTTTTAATTACATATTTTATGAGACATCAATTTTAATTAAAATCTACTAAAAACTGATATTTTTTTAGCAAAACCAAACATGGCTAAAATAATAAGAGAATTGATGTTGCGGAGGTAACTTAAAACAAGTAGAAAATTTAAGTGATTAGATTTAAACAATTTAAAGATCAAGATAAAACTTAGCGCATGTTTGAACTCCATATTTTGTCCAAAATATATTTTGGAATAATATTTTATTTAAGAATATGTGTGTGAAAATAAGAGAGAAAAATATATTTTAAAAATAATTAGTACCAAACAAGGACTTAATTATAAATTAGATGACCAAACATGTTTTTTACCGTCACTCTCTCATTCGAAATTAAAAAAAAAAAACCCTAAGCTACGTGCCTTGAATCTTGATCAACCAAACAAGGTCCGGATTGGCTGCGGAGGGTCCATATTGGCTAGTAGGGGTCAAGCCTTTTCCCATGCTAGTTATTTGCCACGTGTACATTTATTTTGACAGCAAACCATATGACAATTCCCTAAATAAATGTAATTAATTAGTTATACAATTATTTACCCAACTAACTACTTAATATTTCAGCAGCACCTATTTAAACGCCCTAATTACAACAACCATCCACCCCTGACAACTGGTCAATGTTGACCTAATCTACTAATCCTTACTTTAATGAGGTTAGTTTTCTTCTAAAAGTTCGAGATAAAATATTTTCAAAAAAATTATAAAAGCATGTTCAAAAACAAATTCGACGATGTTTTTTAATTTTAATTTTTTTNCCCCCCTAAGCAACATAGAATCTTGATCAACATAGAATCGAACAACCAAACAAGGTCCGGATTGGCTGCGGAGGGTCCATATTGGCTAGTAGGGGTCAAGCCTTTTCCCATGCTAGTTATTTGACACGTGTACATTTATTTTGACAGCAAACCATATGACAATTCCCTAAATAAATGTAATTAATTAGTTATACAATTATGGATAATTCTGCTCAAACAGGGACAAAAAACAGGGTTTCATTGACAACCTGATTTGTCAGCCATTGATTGGATGTATTTTCTTTTCTTTTTTTAAACTGTCCAACCAGTGTTTGACAAGTGTATCTGGTTTTAAATCCTGTCAAAAATCCCTGTCCTTGTAGCACTGCTCTACAATTATTTCCCCAACTAACTACTTAATATTTCAGCAGCGCCTATTTAAACGCCCTAATTACAACAACCATCCACCCCTGACAACTGGTCAATGTTGACCTAATCTACTAATCCTTACTTTAATGAGGTTAGTTTTCTTCTAAAAGTTCGAGATAAAATATTTTCAAAAAAATTATAAAAGCATGTTCAAAAACAAATTCGACGATGTTTTTTAATTTTAATTTTTTTTTTTAAATCCTACTAAAGGGGCCCTACAATGTTATCATAAGTGTACATTCGATTGTATGGGCTAGACATACATCTTACGGTAATCCTACAAAATTCGTTTGATGACTAATTTGAAAAAAAATAAAAAGGTCACTAGTTAAAGTGAAGAGTAAAATTACTTGCACAGTGAATCTGTACAACTGATTTGACAATCCATGAGATGTAAACGTTGTGATAGTTGATTTGAATAATATCAATGGGCAATCTGTCTGTCAATTCATTGATTATATCAGACTAATTGTCCGTATAGCAAAACTCTAAAGTGAAACAACTAATTTGACAATTCATGAGACGTAAACATTTTGATCGTTGATTTGAATAATATCAATGGACAAACTGTCTGTCAATTCATTGATTATCAAACTATTTGTTAGACTAATTGTCCGTATAGTAAAACTCTAAAGTGAAACAACTAATTTGACAATCCATGAGATGTAAACATTTTGATCGTTGATTTGAATAATATCAATGGACAAACTGTCTGTCAATTCATGGATTATCAAACTATTTGTCAGACTAGCAAAACTCTAAAGTGAAACAAGTTTATAAATGCAAAACACATTTATTTTCTGATATTAGGTTCAACAATGTCGACTAAATGTTTTATGTATTTAAATTAATTTTTTCAAAGGTCGACATTATTATTGGGAATGATATTTCTATCTAGTGGTTATCTCCCTTATCACTATCAAACTCCACGCCTCTCAAAGCAAATTCCCCAATTGGAATAAAAATCCATATTTCAATACTAATAACCATAAATATCTTGTGTTCTTGCCCTTTTCAGCCTCCATTATCATCATCATTTTCTCAGCTGTGGAATCCTAATCAAAGATTTGACAAACTTCTCAAATCTATGGACTTAACCTCCAATCCCACCGCCTCTACAAGTCCTGATGATGCTGAAAACGATTTGAATCCCTTATCCTTAACCAACGGCGCATTCAATAATCACCTCCGTCCGACTCCGCTGCCACCAACGGTGACGTATAAAGAATGTTTGAAGAACCATGCAGCCAGCTTGGGTGGGCATGCTGTGGACGGTTGTGGAGAGTTCATGCCTTCACCTTCGGCCACCGCCACAGATCCCACATCGCTAAAATGCGCTGCTTGTGGCTGCCACCGCAACTTCCATCGCCGTGAACCTGAAGAAACCTCCACCGCCACCCCCCATTTTCTTGATTTCCGCCACCACCCTCCGCTGCCACCTATCGGGTCTTCTCCCTCTCCCTCCCCTTCCCCGCCACCACCACAACCATCAAAAACTCCCTCATATGCACCCCGCATGTTCCTCTCCCTCAGCACCGCCTTGCCGGAGGACCACCAACAGGCACCGGTAACGCCGACAGCATTCAAAACCGATAATCTAAACGGCGGCAGGAAGCGGTCGAGGACGAAATTCAGCCAGGGTCAGAAGGAAAAAATGTATTCTTTTTCAGAGAAGCTGGGGTGGAAATTGCAGAAATCCGATGAGGCGGCAGTGGAAGAGTTCTGCCACCAGATTGGCGTCACTAGAGGTGTACTCAAGGTTTGGATGCACAACAACAAGAACACCTTTGCAAAAAGAGAAACGAACACCACCACCACCACCACCCCCATCAGCAACGATAATATTGTTAATGATGATGAAAACAAGAATACTAATAGGTCTTCTTCATCATCTTGAACCGCGTCATTTCAACGGTCGCGCATTCTTAAAGGTGTTCTAACTATGAAGATATATAGATCGAATGTGATTTGACATTGATGTTTTGATATCAAGACATTAACGGGTTTCTTCTTCATCTTGATATGTAGACTAGTTAACATTGATCATTTGCGTAATTTAGAACGAGCGAAGATCTGGCCGGAGATAAAGGACAAAAAGCACTCGAGGGAGACCAATTTTTATCAACATATTATCTATCTTTTTCTTTTATAAATCTTCTTTGAAAAATAATACTCTCTAAATGAAATTAATGTTAGCAGCTTAATTTATGTAACTTTCTGAGAAAATTTTAGTATTATGCAATAATAGCATACAAATTAAAGATTTGAATAAAACAAGATGGTTTTCTCGACTTCAAGAAAAGCAACTAAAAAATTATTTTTAAGCATAATTAATCTTGAGAAAAATTAGCTATAAATGTCACCTTTGAGCATGGTCAAATCTATGAATCGATCAAACTAGAAGTTATGGAAAATTATTATTGCATTTTGATATCAACCATATCTTTCATGGGTCCCACATCTTTTCAATCACACATTTCAAAAACTTCTATCGCAATCCACTAAAAATCTAATTTTAATCCCCACCAAACACTCTCTAAATTGAGTTATTCTCGTCGTGTTTTGGAGCGATTTGATTTGGTTCACATATGATAATATATCCTTAGTACTATAGGCTATAATCAATTCTTGGTTGTTTAAAAGCTGATCTAATAATTAATTCTGGATTCAATGAATTTGTAAGAAGCAAAGTTCCTTCAATTTTTTCTTCTTTCCTTCATAATTAAGCCTTCCTAAGAGGGCCTTTTACACATGTCTTAACAGGGATTAATGGCACATTTAGAGTTGTTGGTAGACCATATTTATAATTTCACTTCCCCTCCAATCATTGCTTTACTATTTTATTACCTCCAAAACCATTATTGAATTTCTTGGTATACAAGGCTCGTTCTACGTTATTGAACAATATCATACAATTTAGTTCAATTCAATACTCGTAACAAAATGTCTAGGAGGCACATGGTGTCCATGAACTGTATTTTTAGTTAAAATCTTGTTCATTGTACTGCTGAGGCAGAGATCGTCCTAACGGGAGGATAATTTTGTAATTTGGGTGAAAGAAAGGTGTGGAGCATATAGAATAAAATCAGACAAGTGACCTAAATTAAAACATTGTGGAATTGGATATATTATCTTGTGAATCTGAACTTTTAAGGCAAGCAGAAGCAGGCGTTTGTTGGCTGATTAATTAAAGATTATGAGAGCTTTGCCTAGCCACCTTACCATTTTTGGTTGGTTCCTTAAGCGGCAAGCTTTGCCGCCTTCTGCTTATTATGATATTATTAATTTATATAGCTAAGTGATCATCTAAGTCTACTACTCATTGAGATTTAGTAAAGTTAAGGATTTATTTCTACTTTTTACATATTTAGGCACCTCCTCTGCAATTTTCTCCAATTAAAAAGAGAGACCGAGTATATAATTAAACCTTTTTTGATTCAGTTAAAAAAACTGAATTTAAATTTAAGTCAAAGTCAACCATTAATTTTAATCATAAATTTCATGTGGTCTACAACTTTTCTACTACAAATTTTGTCAATTTTTATCAAAATATAATTGGGGTTAAAGCATGTACAAACGTACTTAAAAATGGCTTTTTTTAGCTTCCATTCATGGAAGCAGCCTAATTGGTTAAGATTTTGCTTCTCAATTAATTGTGAATTTTTATTTGCAATTGTATTTTCCCTAACAATTTTAGAGAGATTCAAATTGAGCAAACCATTGGAAAGCCAAATGAGAATGATGGACTCAACAAGCCTTTTCTTTTCAAGGGAGCATAGAAAAGAAAAATGAATTCCAAAAAAAAAAAGAAGTATCAAAGGTACGAGCGACGTTGAATATCTTGAACATGAACTGGAGGTTGAAAAATACGAAAAAAGATGTCCGTACTATGTTTTAAAATGTCTTGCTTATCGTTTTTATGATTATTATGATACTACTTTCACATCCGCCAAGTAAATATGGAAAGCCTTGCATAGAAAATATAACTTCCAAGAGGTGATCACAAAAATTACGAAGTTTTTTTTTGCTACCAAATGGTAGATAAAAAAACCTAGGTGCAATATTTTCAAATGCTAAAGTCTCATTAGAAGGCATGAAAACTGGTGACGACCTTTACCGTCAGTAATTACATGTATTCTCCTGGAGGAAGAGGCAAGACGACAAGATGCCAATATTGGGCATTTGACTAAGGTAAATATAATTCCTATCAATGAAAATATGCCAATAATGTATTGAAGCATAGAAACATGAAAAATAACAGAAATTCAAGCCAATGGAGTAAGAGCCAATCACATCCTTCTCAAAATAAATAGGTGAAAACTTGTTTTATATGTGGCAAGAGTGGGCATATTACTTGATTTTGCTGATATCAGAATCACGAATCTATGCCTCATGCTAACATTACCGAAGAGCCATTCTTGGCTATGATGTCAATATTGTTCAAATTCTTGAAGGATGGTAAGAAGGTCCTGTAGCAAATATGGTGCATTAATCAGCCTGTAAATTACTATCGAATTGCTCTCAACTGTCATTGAGATGGCCCGAAGCTTGCCAGAACTATAAGATGCTACACATACACATTCCCTCCAATTAAGGAAAAAGAGAATGATATATTTTATTTCATCATTTGCATTTGTTATTTTGATGGCTCTTGTTTTGGATGGTCTTTTTGCTCGATGAATTCATCTTTTTAGAAAAAAGATGTGATTTCTTCGTTCCACGAACAAAAGTGGTTGTTGCTTATGTGTAGAAACATTTTCCTCTAATAGCATATCATAAATGTATGATCAGTTGTTAAATTGTGAAGCCTAATTATTGTCTCTATGTGAAATCCATACACTGATAGAACTCCGCGGTGAGGTCGCCGTAAAGGTTAGAAGAGGGAGGAAGCCCCCTCTCTCGACCAAAATTTCATTAAGGATAGTTATGAATTTTAGAGAGAGCAATTTTTCTGTCATAAATTTTTTTCATTATATAAATTATTGCAGCAGTGAACAAGGATTAGTCTTACATTGAACCTCTATAAATCTTGCATATTATTTCTTTACTGGGATTTTATTGTCCTTGGTGACATAAAAAAAGAGTTTCTAATTCTCAACATTAATTGAGATTTGCTTCGTTGTGTTCGTGCCTACTATACATGCCACACGCTAAAGTCCCGATCTCTTAAGATGACCGGACTTTCACCCACCCGGCTGAGCCGGTTGAGTTGTGATCACATTTCCGTTCGTAAGTGAATTTGTGATGAAGATCTCTCAGACAAATCATATTGTGCTTCTGATTGTCTACCATTATTGGCAGTATAGGTTAAAACATGACACTGAATTGCAATGCATTAGATTTTATACATATTGTGTGTCCAATTTTTCTTCTGCACCAAATTACCAAATGCAAAAGATGATAAACATGCCTCCCTGTTCTTTCTTGTGATCGGCAGAAGCCACTTTAATGTGGGACATAATAACATCAGTGTCAAAACATTAATTGCCGACACATTTGAACATTGTTTATTTACATCAATTCATAACATTAAAAATGGTGTATTAGTAAATTGAAAGGTTGAAATTCACGTACACTGAACATAGAATGTGAAGCAATAAAGTCGAAAGGTACATCAAGTCCTAGTTTAGTCTCCTCTCTAACTAAGCCATGTGTTAGATGAGAAACCATGACCTAATAACTAAGGCTCTTGTGCATCAATTATTTCAAGTCCAAAAAATAAGAAAAGGAAAGGAGAACAAGATTTCTTATGGTTAAGCCCAAATTCAATCAACATTATCCCTAGATCAGAAAAGGCCAAAAGCTACAACAATATCATTTTTGGATTCTTCTTAACATATTGCATATCCCTTTTTAAGTGTAGGAGTGAGTGTCATAGAGCCAAGTTGCCTAAGGTCTCTGGTTGTTGAATACACTACAAAAAAACATGGTTTTAGGCACAGAATATCCGTGCCTAAAGCCACGATATCCGTGCCTAAGGACAATTCTGACGAATTATTTGAATCCTTAGATCAACAAAAGAAGCTCAATATACAAAACGGTAAAAGATGAACAACTTGAGTAGAATACTCTAATAAATGTACTTCCTCCAATGTTAAACAATGAGCAGATTAATCATAACATACAAAAATCTAGCAAATTAAAATTCCATAATATTTTGTCCTGCTAATATTACAGCAGCATAATATTTGATGCCAGAATGTAATTTCAACTCCAAAACTTCACATGTCAGTTGTAGTTTTCATAGTTAAGAGGGGTGTAAACCTTTTTAATTTTTTTTCACCGTTCCCAATTTCCTAATGGTAACCTTAGGGTAGAGTTAATAAAGCCTTGAATGGCAGGCACCTATCCTCTATACTTACTATTATAAATTTTGTATTCCAAGTCAAGTGCTCTAGCTCCTAATGGCTTATTCCAACTCCACAGTAGCTTAATCTTTACATTTCCCTTGAAAACGTTTTTAGTATATTAACCTTTAATGAGATTTTTCTTATTTAATAATATTTCCACTTTACAATATACATTGTTTCTATTCATTCTAGCTAATTGGGGTACAACTGCACGCCTTTGGTGCACTGGTTTGAATTCTCGGAATTGTCTTGGCCTTTGAAAAACAAACCTTGAACAATGAAGAGTGAATCAAATCCCACCCAAACTTGGATAGTGTTTCTACTCCAAATCCATCATCCTTCTATTTTATTTCGATTCATCAGCACTTTTTTTTCCCTTTGTGTTTTCGGAGACTGAGGAAAGACGTGTTTTTAATCAAGCTGAAAGTAATTAGCTTTTCACTACTAAAAACTATTATTAAGAATCTCACAAATATGGTTTATAACATTCATCGATTACCAATCCTTTACACAAGTTCCACCTAACTACAAAGCAAAATACTTCCAT